GCCGATTTCTTCTCACTTTGATGGAACTTTCTAATCTAACACCACATAACCGACTGTTAATGGGGATCCAATCAATTAGTGCTGCCTCAGCTCTAGCGCTTAGTGCGACACCAATGCCAGCAAGACCAGACGAAGATGCTACAGGGTCCCCGGATAAACGCACGTAGAACAAGCTTTTCGAAGTGACAGTTGGAGAGCGAATTTGTAGTACGTCACCAGAGTCTTAAATACGGGTCTCGAATAGACAACAAACTTCGATATTAAGAATTTCCAAAGACATAGCCAACCCTATCTGTTGTCTGACATGCGAACATTGAAGGCAGCCAGTTTGAATGCTGCGCGTGGTTTCAGAAAGACTGCTTCAGTACTCTTATTCGATGGTAACAAACAATTTTCAACCAGGCAGTGACTCGAGAACGTTTAGATAGAGCCGAATGTCCACCATAGGCGAGCTGCTGTATAAGTCGAAAAATAAGGATAGATAGAGTGGAAATAAAAGTGAATAAATGACGTGGTAAATAATAATAATAGCAATAATAATGTTAATTGTTTGACGATAAATCGCAGCGTGAACAGGGTTTTCAGAGAAGATCATCATTTTTTTATATTTGTGTGGGCTGTGATGCTGCCCGGGTGCCCAGACCGAAGCAGGTGGTTTTCTTAGTGGGTCACAGCCCGAGCCTTCGACCTAAAGGTCTAACCCACAAGGCAGTGGAGATGCAGTTCCATGGTAGCCGGTGACCAAGAAATTGGTTCATACGCCATTTGTTCCCGCAGGATACTGGAGCCCATGTGCACCATTGGTTTGGGATCCGGTTAAAGCGCCGGACATTCGCTTTTCGTCCTCTCATTTTCGTAAACAACACCCGTGGTGCGAGAAGGTAGTGAGTAGGACTTCCCTGTCAGAGGTTATATACGCGTGGCCGTGTGAGAGTATTTCGAGAGGGAGGGCGAACCCACCCCACTCTCGGCCATACCAGTGCATTTGGGGGCAAGAATTTAGTTACGATGTCCTTGAAAAAGTCAAATTATTTATTCGATTATTATTACCTGTGGTGTTTTAGTCCAATGTAGTTCATTCCCACAGTCAGTTGGCTTTGAGTTTGTTAAGTAGCAATAATTACTGTGAGGCCTTTTAAAATATCATATAACATTACAGCAGACGCCCTTACTTCACACAATTGAGAGTGCATCATATTCCTAACGTGGTTCATGTTTGTCAAACTGAGTAGATTACTGGTATATCAGTAGGAAGGATGCCTGAAGTTAAATATACTCCAATTTGTTTGAGAATAGTAGATAAAAAGGGCGTCAATTTGCCACCACTTCTGCCTAAATGAACGATTCTCCTGGTCCAGCAACACATAAATAATTGTTAGTAAAAATCTTTTTTTTTCTCATATCTAGTCAACACAACTGTCATTGAACAAATACACATAAAACGTACTTTGTGTACTAAAAGATGAAGAAGTCCGGAGTCCTTTACGTAGATCTTAGGTAATATAACAGGGATATGGTATACATTAATATCGAGAATTTCATGACACTCAGACAGAAAGGTTTGTTGCCCTATGTGCATCAATACTCGTAAAGCAGCGTAAACTGAAAGTTTAAATTTACAAACCTGGATAAGAGAATTAGAAAAAAACTCAAATGAATGGAATCGCAAATGGTTTACTGTTTTTCACAAATACCATATATTCAACTCCAGAGAGCTCTACAGAATATTCAGTATCCCAACGAAAATTAGGAGACCAAATTAACACACAATAAGTCCAAACTACTTTCAGTATGATATCCAGGATTTAGTGAACCCGCCAACCATTCAAATAAAAGTAACCACATGGAAAGAAATACCTATCGTTTTCCTAAGATCAACCTAGAAAAAAATTAATTGGATAATAATTGGTCCAGTGCTACAAGGACTATATGACTAACCCGAATACCCTGATAAGAATAGTAAATGATTTGAAGTAGGTTAAAAATCACTCATAAAATCTTAACGTAGAAAACGTGCATCAACACCAATACTCGATAGAACAGAAAAGAGAAGTGCATTGCAAAACAAATTTTATTTGGATTCGTCATTTTTTATGTTATTTGTACAGTCAGATTTAGGTGATGGTGAGCAAACCTCTGCTATATTGTATTTACGATATTTGAAGAAATTTTCCAACAAACTGATACAAGTCACCTTACACAGGACAGTTATTGAGACAACAACTGAAGGCGATGAATTGCATAAATTCCAAGATGAATCAACTGATTTGATTGCTTCACATGTACGGCGTATAGCATCATCACGGGTAATAGCTTTGAAACCACGAGATTTGAACATAATCATAAACGTCTTCGATCCATTCAATGTAGATTCACAAGCAATCTGTTTTGGGACATGTAAGATTGACGACTCGTTAACATCATTTGCGTTTGTTTCATCATTTGACTGGTCTGGAGGTACCTCAACTTTAGAGCATTTTGTATTTATTTTACATGACGCTAGGCCAAGGAAGTTTGACCATGCTTTTAGCACACAATTTTCGAGTGACGGTAAATCTGACCGACATGTGTTTACAACAGGCATCAAACGAAGAACATAACGAGACTCCGCATTGGAAGTTGAGAGTAGTCTTTCGAATACACGATTACAAAGTTCTGCAGCACTAAGTAAATTAGTCTGATGAAGAATAAAAGAACAGTTACTGATATGTGTTTTCACAGAGTAGAAGCCAAATTTGCTTTTCGAATTGGCAGGATAGTTTGAACAATTTTCACTAAGTAACTGTGAGTATAAGTCATCAGTATCATCATTCTTTTCATCACTAACCATATTAATAGGTTTAGAACCAACTAATTCATTATTTTTGCTTACAGCATTGTTGTTTTTAGATGCTTCACTTTGATGATTTTCAATAGAAATCTCATCTAAAGTATGATTTAATAAACGATAAGTCTCAATATGTGCTAACCGTTGCTGTTGATTGTAAGTTAATATGTAACCAGTCATGCCGGGTTGTAAATTTTTCGGAATGCATAACACACTATCGTTTCGATCATTCAGACGAGATTTTTTTGAACCAAAAGCACATTTTCGGTAGTAAGCTTTGCGTTTTTTCTTGGACTTTTGATGGTCCATATGTGATTATGCTATGTTGTTTATAAATATGTGGTCAAAAACACACAATATAACTGAATGTAAGTTTTGGTAGACATTAAGTATGAAAAAAACTCAATATAGGTCTAATTAGAATTTGACCGAATGCATTGAAATTATTTCTACATACAGAGAAGGATATTAGAAAAAAATATTTTGCGAAGTCGATGATCAACAGACAAAGCAACTAATAATATCAGTAATCACTATGAATGTGAAGTATGGAACATTCTGACCATTTAAGTAGAACAAAAGACAGTCTATATAGGGTAATCAGTGTTAAAGCAATCAAACAATTCGGGGTAGGTTCAAGTACTAGCTATTCAACCATAGATATATGGGGTGGTCAGTTGTGGCCTGAGTACTCAGTAGTAACATCTCAAACTGTAAAGTCAAGTGGTGCGGGCTTGAATCCTACAAGAAACATTAGTTCCCTGAAAACTCCAACTATTCATTGTTATTAGGTTCCAACATGGATGAAATTTAGGTCATCCGTGGCTTCTTATCGCCTACCTTCAGCAACCTGATATTAATAACCTCATGTACGTAATATATACTGATTTGTCGATGAGAATGAACCTGTTTCCTTGTATGGTTTACTTGGGTACGGTGAGACGGGAACTTAAGATAAAGCGATAGGATTGATTAGTTTTCCCAGATCGTCCATCTGGTACTACAGACACGATTAGCGTAAGATAACGAACAAAAGTAACACTAAATGACTACTGGTCCAGAATCCAGTCTCCAATCCTTGCTCGCCTGATAGTCAGAATGGAGCAAAACGCTTCAGTCCGTCAGCGAAAACGTAGGACCAGACACATATATGCATCGGTCCAAGTTGCCATACCGCATTAGCACAACATGATGAACACCGGATTCATAGAAGTAGTTAATTCAGTGGTGGTAATATATAAAAGAAAGATTGCATATAAGGATATAGTACAGTAAGAAAGAATTAGTACGTAGAAAGAAAGATATGAAGCGATTTTAATCTCTTAGTTTAAGGGAAGACAGAGAGTCTATACACCTATGCCATTGTGGTCGATTCTGAACCATGTCACCAAGAGTCTCCAACCATCGGCTACGATAGTTACGCGGACCCCAACCAAGTAGTCTGCATCTACCAACATGGCTCAGACCAAATGTTAGTGACTTCGAGCACTGATGCCACGTTTTGGTTTGGCCGCCCTTAACTTTCTTCCAACCATCACCAACACCGGTTAGCATTGCGCGTCGTGGTAGTCGGTGTTCAGGCATACGCAACACATGGCCCAACCATCTCAGTCGATCAAGATTCATATCCTTCTCAACTGATTTACCATCATTCCCTAATACCCTGAGTCTAACCTCACTATTACTTACCCAATGATCCCAGTAGATGCGGGTAATATTTCTGAGGCATATGTGGTCAAATACTTGTAGCTTACGAGTATCTTCCACTCTTAATGACCATGTTTCGTAGCCGTAAAGTAAAACAGAACGAACTGCCGCCCAGTATACTCGTCCTTTTATTGATAGATAGATATCTCGCCTTCGCCATAGCTGACGCAAGTTCGCAGAAACCAAAAGAGCTTTTAGAATCCGTACACAGATTTCATCAAACACCAACCCATTAGGGCTTATAAGACTTCCAAGATAAGTGAAGTTGTCAATGCGTTCGACTACCTCACTCCCTATCCTTAGTTCAGGTGTTGACGCAGACCAGTCCTGAAGCAACAACTTGCATTTAGAGGGAGAGAAGCGCTTCCCAAACATTCTGGCATTGTTGCTCAGTGCTACCAAAAGACTGCATTTTATCAGCGTCTTCACCAAAAAAGATTATATCATCAGCGTGTTCTAAGTTGACCTCCTGGTAGGAGATCAATGCCCGAGAATTCAGTCGATGAGAGCGTTATTGCCATCAGTAGATCTATGATGAATCTAAACAAAAATGGAGAAAGTGGGCAGCCTTGACGGACAACACTTGAGGTTCCAAAAGCAGATGACACTTCGCCATAAGCTCTGACTCGACTAGTAGTGTTCGAGTAAAGAGCCTTCACAAGGTTTATGTACTTCTGAGGTACGCCTTTCAATGACAGACACTGCCACAGAACCTCTCGGTCTACCGAGTCAAATGCTGCTTTCCAAGCAACATTTGATTCAGCCTCGTTTTCAGAACTGCCTAAGTGTGACCTCAGTTGTTCCTGGAACCTACTTTTGGTTTTCTCGTTACTCAACTCAGTTCTAATGGGTCCTTTTAATGTGGCTTTTTTGCGTCTAGTGAAGCGCAAGCAGATGCGTGCTCGTATTAGGGCATGGTTGGGGTTCAAGCAGGTACTCCAGAATGAGCGACAATCTTTTATCGATCCTCTTCAACGATGACTGATGGCAATATGATCTATTTGAGGCTATCGTTTATTTGGTGCAGGTGGTCGCCATGTTAGGCGATGTCTCTCCTTATTGCTTAAAATTTGTTTGCTAAAAATAAACGATTGTCTGAGCACAGTTGCAGTAAACGATCACCATTATCTGTTCACTGTGCCGGAATACTAAAATGCCCACCTAAATGTCTGTCTGTTTCGGTTAGGCTACCTACCTGGACATTAAAGTCACCTGCTACGAGTACTATGTCTGAACGTTTAGCTTTCTGGAGGAGTTCGGAAAGCTTTCTGTAAAATTCATCTTTCACTTCATCCGAACTGCAGTCAGTGGGAGCGTAAGTAGAAACGACGAAAAGGCAACGACGTGTGTCCCTATCCTTTCGAGTTCTTACGGAGCCGTTTAGCCGGACAGCGCATAGACGACTGTTAACGGTGATCCATTCTAATAACGCTTGTTCCGCCCTCATGCTTAGTGCTATGCCAACACCTGCCAGTCCACGAAAACTAGCCATCGGGTCGCCAGATACACGGAGGGTGTATCTCGTCGGCTCTCCGTTTCCGCGAGGTGAGGTCAAGTGAATGATCATGCTATGATCCTGTATACGTGTTTCGGAGACACAGCATACATCAACGCTACGAGATTCTAGGGTTTCAGCCAACGAGGCCTGCTGACCGATTTGGCATAGTGTGCGTACGTTGAAGGCTCCAATGTGTAGTTAGGAGCGAGGTTTTAGTAGACCTGGGACAGTGTTTTGCGCACTAGAATCGTTGGCTATGGTGACACTTGAGGAGGAAACCAAAAGAGGAAGTTTAATGTAGAAAGTCGATGTAGAAGGAATAATAGGAATTGAAGAGGTAGGTTGATTATAAATACAGTGGTCTTGAGTGCTGTTCGAGGTATGAGTGCAGTCATCACTTCCCAGTTACCCACACCGTAGAAGGGTCCTTCTGGCGGCAACTGAAAAGGAAATCGGATTAGAGGCGGTCATAGTGACCTGAGAGCGTGACCGCAGTGCCCAAAGGGCAGATGCTTGAGGTCGATCACATACGACCTTTTTATGAGTAATTTTTGTGTTAGCTCCGTACTTGTTGAGACCTTAACGCCGGAGACGGATATCCGTGGGATAAGGCGAGGTGTGCATTTTAGGGTCGACCTTTTCCAACCCCACCCCCTCCTTATGGGAAGGTAGCATCTCTGTTATGCTGGTTGTCTGAAGGAAACACCATACTGCTGTCACACCTCTGTACAGTCAGCAGTACGACTTTGGACCTTGGGTTTGTTGCTTTTAATCTTACCGCTCTTCAACCGACCTGTCTGACATGGTAGGACCTTGAGGAAATGTTGTTCCAGCCAGTATAGCTCAGTTGCTTCATCATGATAGGCGAGCCCGACCACCACGTCAAGGTAGCAACAACGGTCGGGAGGAGTACAACGTAGCAAACAGAAAGCTTTTTACCACACAGTTCAGACCAATCATATAGGGCAAAATCCTGATCACACATCAATAGGACTAAGAAATTTTCACATAGGCACATCTACGCCATAAGTAAAGAGTACAACATGACAAGTCTGCAATAAATTAACGATATCTTGAGAAACGTAAAATACAAGAATAGCTTGTATCGTACAAGGGCTTGAAAGTAATTATATAACAAAAATATAAATAACTGCAGATTGGATTGTAGTGAAGTGAAGTTTAGATTCAGGTGACCTGTGGGACTAAACAAAGTTATGATGATGGCCATAGGATTTTCCTACCACTGGAGGTCAACAACAAAAAATTACATAATGACTAAGAATCGGATTTATGACATGTAAGTAAATCATAGAGAAGTCATAACAAAACTTATTCGAAAAAATAATACACCAGAGGTCATCGAACGCTTTTCGACTGTTCGAATGAAAATACAGAAGCAACCTGTACGTTTGAGTCACGATTAACAAACAATGAGTAACGTATCAACTATGTGGTTGAAATTTATAGGTTACATCAATCATTTCCAACAACTTAGACAATCTGTTATTTGTAGGTTACACAGTAAACCTAAACGCTAGTAACGATCATAAGAGATATTGGAAAGCTTTTTATGTAACTGGTCAAGTTTAACAATAGTTTTAATTCAATCAGTCATTCATAACCAGCGTAAATCATAGCACAAATATTTGGTGGCCTAAGTTTGCATACCATAATGGTACAAGAAAAAATTAACATGAATAATGTTGTAGTTATCCTAATGAAAAAGACTAAACATTGAGAATATGGTAAGAAATACAGAATAGGGAATACTGGATTTATAGTGAATACATCTATACCACCATAATCAATTTTGAGCCATATCTAAGTCTCCAACCGCTGATCGCGATTACCGCGTGGATGGCAACCATGTAGTCTGCGTCTACCAACGTGGCTCAGAACAGTCAATGACTACGGAACGATGTCACTTTTTGGTTTAGTCACATTACACCTTGCTTCTGCCCATCAATTAATGTTCAGTATTCTGCATAAGCTTTCTGTTGTAATGAGCTGTCCGTATCACAACACACATTTAAATACCTATGAGATAGGTTACAGAACTAGTTCGGAAATATACATGTTTTTGTCTAAAATAAGACCGATGAGTGATTAGATAGAAACACACTATTTATCACGGTAACGAAAACTGTAATCAAAAAATTTGGCCATTTACTTAGGATGGGACAATAGCAACAGGTCAGGAGTTAACGTGAAATATTGAAAGTAAAATAAAACGAATTTATTTTAATAGCAATTTTCAAATTTTTTTATTTACAGGACAGAATTATCCATGTCGTTCTATATACATATTAAAACATCCACAATCAAGAACTTACTTTTAAGACTGGACCAATGTTTCTAAAATAAAAAAACCTATTTTTTAGTAAGATATATAATTATAAAGTTCAATCTCCAATAAAACAGTTTAATACCAGTTCCACTATGAATATGAATTTTAAAGAGGGCATAGATTGGTCATGAATTTAATGAACTAGATAAACCAGTACAATCCTAAATATATTACTACGTTGTCTTATCTCAACTCCTACAATCAGTAACATATTTGCAGTTTCTATGGGTCATTTTGAAAACGGAATAACCGCATAATCGAACAGTTGAAAACTAAAAGTTCTGTTTGCTAAGCTTAAATCGATGTAGTAGAAAAAAACTTGACAAAAATAAAAAACGTCAATTTTACATCCAGAAAATAATAAGTTATTTTGTTAACTCACAAAAAGTATAACTTTTAGTTTGGCGTATGAGTACGACTACTACTCATCAGTAAGTGGATTATGATGATAAGCCTTAGGTGATATAACAAAACATATCACCATAAGTCGAGGATAATTCCTCAACGGAAGCTACAGACATATATTTTTTTGCCACCAAATGCCCTGGTACGGCTGAGAGTGGGGAGAGTCCGCTCTCTCTCTCGAAACGCTCTCACATGGCCACGCGTATATAACCTCTGACAGGGAAGTCCTACTCACTGCCTTCTCGCACCACGGGTGTTGTTTACGAAAATGAGAGGACGAAAAGCGAATGTCCGGCGCTTTAACCGGATCCCAAACCAATGGTGCACATGGGCTCCAGTATCCTGCGGGAACAAATGGCGTATGAACCAATTTCTTGGTCACCGGCTACCATGGAACTGCATCTCCACTGCCTTGTGGGTTAATCCTTCAGGTCAAAGGCTCGGTGTGGCCCCATAAGAAAACCACCTGCTTCGGTCTGGGCACCCGGGCGGTATCACAGCCCTCACACATATCAATTGAGATTTGTGGCGCATATGTATTTGGTGCCTCCTTGTACCAATATCTATGTGTTAAAATAAATAAAACAGACATATATTAATGATAGAAAAACTCCAGATAAATTAGTCTATAGTCAACAAATCGCCACTTAGGACTTTGCATTTGGGAATGTAAAATATGTTCTGACGGGATTTATATCGAAACATTTCAAACACCTAATAATATAATGGTAATTTGGAGCATCAAAATGAGAAACATGTTCAGAACAATTAAAATATTAAGATTATTCAAATAACTACATCTGTTTTAATCGCAAACGTTTATTTTCACAATGTTAGTATTTACAATTTATGGGGCAACTTTAATAAACAATTTACATGTAAACACGACAAATCTACTTTACTATGAAGAGCCAAAAGATAAACAATATGAGAGCGTAAATTATGAAAGAACCAAAACAAAATGCAAGGATTGTCATTCGAAGGAAACTAATATCTATTGATTAGAATCTATTTCACCCACTAGTTTGGGAACGTATTTCATAAAGAATTTCATCAGCACCGGATAGAAGAAGATTTTGTGCTACCACGCAACCCAAACTTTGAGCGATAGCCATTCTGAGACGGGAAATTTCGGATGATGGAGTAACTAAAACTCCCATAAATATAGATGTTGCATCCAATGCCGCTTTTAACTCATCCTGGTAACAAGGTAGAAGCACAAAATAGGAAGCAATATGAGTTAATTCTAGCAATAATTAAAAGACCGTTTTACCTAACTTCACGGCATAATGAACTTGTAAATGTTGAGTTACTAGTTCAAACCACGTGGTCACAATCTATATCTATATAATCAAATAATCAAGAATAATAAAAGTGATACGTTCGTGAACTCCACTAATACATTCATAACTCCGACCTCACTACAGTGAACGAAACCACCCTCACACATTTTTCCTCGTTAACCACAAACAGAAGTCCGCTTTTGTAACAAAAGCCTCGTTGACAATAATACTGGTTTCAACAAACGTTCCTCAAGGTCCTATTATGCCAGACAGGTTGGTTGAAGGGCGGTAAGATTAAAAGCAACAAACCCAAGGTCCAAAGTCGTACTGCTGACTGTACAGAGGTGTGACAGCAGTATGGTGTTTCCTTCAGACAACCAGCATAACAGAGATGCTACCTTCCCATAAGGAGGGGGTGGGGTTGGAAAAGGTCGACCCTAAAATGCACACCTCGCCTTATCCCACGGATATCCGTCTCCGGCGTTAAGGTCTCAACAAGTACGGAGCTAACACAAAAATTACTCATAAAAAGGTCGTATGTGATCGACCTCAAGCATCTGCCCTTTGGGCACTGCGGTCACGCTCTCAGGTCACTATGACCGCCTCTAATCCGATTTCCTTTTCAGTTGCCGCCAGAAGGACCCTTCTACGGTGTGGGTAACTGGGAAGTGATGACTGCACTCATACCTCGAACAGCACTCAAGAACACTGTATTCATCATACATTGGTTTGAGTCCTAATGTTAATTCGTCCTAGTGCTCAAGTTATACGCGCCATATGAAGAATATAAGCATCTATATTATATATATATGAATAATTCAATTTTTATACTGAAATAGGATGAACAGTTTATTTCTGCAAATGAGAGAAATAAACAACTTACTTTAGTAGGAGAGGTTAGTGATGTCCCCCTACTTTCGATTATTGGTGTATTTGTGCTGACATCATCATAACCGCTCGATTTTTGCACTAATTCGCAACTGAACTCCACACAATCATTTATGGGCATTTTATCCGGGAAAACAACAGAGGCAGATCTTTCTATACTTTTCCCACCATCAACACTTAGTATATTTGCATGAAGAGTAAGTTGAGAATAGTTCAAATCTCCATTTAAAACAAGATCACTGCGCACACCGATCGGGATAGAACAACCACCATCAAGTTGACGCATTAAACTGCGCTCAGCAATAGTTGTTAAGGCAGCTGACTCGTCGTGGATGCGCGATAACAAATCCATGATGAAATTATCGATTTGACGACATTCACAAGCCAATGCACCTTGACTTACAGCATAAAAAGAATCGTTTAAAACCTACGGAAAGTAAAAACATCCAGAAACAAAAAAATGACTTATGATAATTAAGACAATTCTTGATACCAGTTTTACTTTAACTTCTTAAGGATTGAAACTCTATAAATTTATCAACATTTTAGAACTGGATAAAAAAAAAACAGTTACCAAAATAATTACAACTTTTTGTTAATATCTTAAAACTCAATAAGTGTTGAAAACGTATCTATAATTGTAAAAATTGGTTGACTACGAAAGCATACTTCTGATCTAAATGGCGTATTGTACTTATTGTTCAAAAAATTAGTCCCATCAACAAAATAATAAAGTCTCAGTTTACACTGATAGGTTTATCGTCATAAAGGTTCGTAAATGTTCTAATGTTTCGCAGATTGTAGGTTTTCATCAAGGCCAAGTTCATACGATTTGTTACAATGAGCATTGGGTGATGAGGATCTTTCCCCTGAGGTACTTGAATAAAAATATCAGTGTAAACATAGACTTTTCATTATTGTTGGTGAAGCTAATTTTCTTAAACAATACGTACAATATGCCGTTTAGATCAGAAGTATGCTTTTGTAGTCATCTATATACAAGATCAATGTTAGGACATCAGCTATAAATCAAGATAATACTTATTCAACTCAATGAAGCTTAATCATTTAATGGCGACTCATAAAAGCGGATATCTAAACCTAGTATGAATTTAGCAACGTAAATTGATACTAAACCACTATACATACTAGACTTCGTTTGTTAATATGCAGAGACAACTATCCCCGAATTTAGTCATAATGGTAAAAAAAATACTGGTTCACGACAAATTGAATGTTATAAGTACATGGAGCAAATGACTTTACGAATTCAAGATATCTAAGCACTTAAATGTCCTAAAAATAAAAGTCATTTGAGGGATCCTACTGTGATGCGTGATGATGCTTAGTAAAAAAAGCCATATTTATTTATTTAAACACAAATATTGGTACAAGGGCACTGAATAAATATGCGCCACACAAGTCACTTGATTTGTGTGTGGGCTGTAATACTGCCCGGATGCGAAAACTGAAGCAGATGGTTTTCTGAGGAGGCCACACCCGGAGCCTTTGACCTGAAAGTTTGATCTAAAGGTAATGGAGCAACGTAAGATGCAGTCCCATGGTAGCCGGTGACCAACGATTGATCCATACGCCATTTCTTCAATCAGGATAGTGGAGCCCATGTGCACCACTGTTTTGTAGTCAGGGATTTCCAACTCCTCTGGGTGAAACCTGTGGCTACTAACCCGGTTAAAGCGCCGGATATTCGCTTTTCGTCCTCCCAGTTTTGTAAACAACACCTGCACCACGAGAAGGCAGTGAGTAGAACTTCCCTGGCAGTGGTTGAATGCGCGTGGTCATGTGAGAGGATTTCGAGTGGGAGAGTGGACTCTCCCCACCCTCGGTCGTACCAGGGTATTTGGGAGCAGTTTGGTTTCCATTGTCTAACGAATATCGAGTTAAACGGCATACATTGCTTCACTATGAATTCATGAAAAAAAGTGATTATCGTCAAGAAATTAATAGCCGTCTCAATTTTTAAACAAATGGTGGCCACATATTAATTACTCAAAACAATACAAAGACCAACCTGATCAATACGGTGCGACCAGCCCATCCTTTCAACACCCGCCTTAGCTAGGATGATCGCATCATAACTTGGAGATGGATTGGTTAAACAGCAATTATCCTTGGGAACTGGAGGAGTATCGAGTTTGGCAAGCCTTGTGTTTAAATTTCCACGTATGGATACAAACTTCAGATGTGGATACCTGCGTGTAAGTGTGGCTACGCGCCGAACAGCACTTGTTCCAATTGTAGATCCGATAGGGAGATCAGAAAGTTTTCTTCCACGATAATGTGGAGCCATCAAAACAACATCATCAGGAGATGCTCTGGCAAATACACAACCAAGGACTAAGCCAGAAGGAAGGATTGATGGGACATCTTTAAGTGAGTGTACGACAAGGTCAACTTCTCCACTAAGTAAAGCATTTTCAAGTTCCTTTGTGAATAAACTTTTATCACCAATCTTTGATAATGAAACATCAAGAATTTTGTCGCCGACAGTTGCCATCTTCACAACTTCGAACAGAACATGCGGATTTTGTTTTTGAAGTAAATTAACTGCCATTCCAGTCTGGAGAAGTGCCAAATTACTGCGCCTAGAACCTACACGCACAACGGTACGACGGGATGGACCAAGCATGATGAGTGATTTGGAAACCGCACAAGGTCAAATCTACCCTAATATTGGACTTCAAACTCGACAAATTTTCTGAGCAAATAGAGAATTGATTGTCTTTTTAAATCTGCGTCTAGGTAGTATGAATAATTTCATTGTCGCAGTAATCTGTGATTCTTTTCACATTGTCGCAAAATCTGATAAGCAAGTACATTATACAATAATCCATAGAGTGATCGAGAAATAATACCCAGAACTGTTCCTTTCACCACTTACTGAACCGATGTAGAAAATCAGATATCCTTCGGGCAAATACATAAGAATCTGTCGCTAATACCGCTTACGGTTGGAAACTCCACAGCTTAGGTGTTATAATTAAAAGTTTTCACGACTTCTTTCTTGTTCCATTCTCATTCCTTGTACATTAAGATGTAGTTTATTTCTCACTCTTATGTGATCTTCTGAGACAGATGGCTATGCGGATCTGATGAATCAAGATTATAACCTTGCTAGTCTGTTGTGATAAAACAAACCCTACTACGTCTTTAGCAGAAGACACCTACGGTATAGATAAGATATTCTCAGGCTAATTTAGCAATGTATGTACCGTAGAGAACCCATCATCTTCGGCTCGTAAAATCCCTACCCGCAAACACTCTGAGCACTGCAGCCGTTAAAAACTTGATCACTTTCAACTGCTAAACAAATCCATGGAGCTCGATGAAATGCATCCTACGTTACAAAATGAACTAGTAAATTTAATCGCAAACACCTTTAAAATATGTTCATGTCTGAACACAACCCAAAGTGAATCCAATCTTTAAAATAGGCACAAGATACAAACCTGGGAACTAACCACCCTTTAGCCTAATCAGTGTAGCTGTTAAAATTTCAGGTAACATTTAAAGAAATTAGTCCCTTTGATAAATATCGATAATGTAATAGGAAGAAGAAGAAGAAGATTGTCAGAACTATGTGACATATTAGCGCAATACATTTCGAACAATCTGATCACACATATACTTGTTAAGAGCATTTATATATAAAAATAAAAGGTCAACTATACTGGAAACGGGGTAAGAGGAGATAATAATAATAATAATAATAATAATAATAATAATAATCTGAACACAATTCAAAACCTAATCACTCTGGATAATAAGTCAATATTACCAGGGTAGGTTTAAGGTAAGAACAAACTGTTTTTGAATATACAAAGTGGATTTGAATTTTCTTATGGTTAAGACTTTGATAAACCTTAGTATATGCCGTTTTACACTTTTATACAATACCACAAAAGCTGAGTTTAGATCAATTATATGTTTAGTAATAGAGGATGAAGGGTGTTTATCCTCTGCTCTTATTGGGTCACTTGATTGTATTTGTTTTTGCAGCCATTTTGGTACATGTTCACACACTCTAATGTTGAGACCACCATTGCTCCTCCCTTTGTATGTGCGACCACACACATTTAAATGGGTAAACACAGTGGGATGTGACACAATCGTTTTCATATCTTTTAGGTTTTGGATGAAGCATGCACCTTGCTCTTTCTTTCATAATGATCTTTGCTGCGCAATACGTTTTATTGATGTCAGATTTAAGTCTTTGTTTCAATAAAAGGCTATTCGAATCACCTCTGAATGGGAAGGTGATGTAGACAGGCCGTTTTTCTACCAGGGCAACAGTATGTCTCACTGTGCCATGGACTTTCCATCTATTTATGAATTACAGAGGATAGCCATTTTCTTTTAATGTTTTATTCAACAACTTAACATCCCCATCAATGGCATCATTTTTACAAATAAAAACAAGCCTGTTATATATAAATGCTCTTAACAAGTACATGTGTGATCAGATTGTTCGAAATGTATTGCGCTAATATATCGAATAGTTCAGGTAACATTGTCCAGAGTTTTTTGTTTGAGTACCTAGACGAAAACTGGATTCACTCTGAAAAGCAGCATAGATTTAAAACAAGTTACTCATGTCTCACAAACTTGTCAATAATCTATGCAATTTGCTGGGCTCTTAAGTATCAAAAGTTACACATGCAAATAGCTTACACTGACTTCAGTAAGGCTTTTAACAAAGTTCCTCACAGCTCGCTGTTATCTAAGCTAAGCGGTATCGGGATTGGAGGTGGGTTACTCGTGTGGATGAAGGATTTCCTAGTTGGGCGTCAACAAAGAGTACGGGTGAACTCCAAGTTACCTAGCTGTAAAACTGTGTCTAGAAGAATGCCTCAGGATACGGCTGTGAGGCCAGTGTTGTTCCTCCCGTGTGCGAACGACCTTCTTGGTCTCCCGTCACCATCTATTTTGCTATACATACAGTGTTCCTTCACCCCAAACCTGAATATTACATAAAAAGCTATTCTGAAATGCCCCAAGCTAGAACTATACAGCGACCTGAACACTAGAGAGAAGGCACAAAGTATGCGGAAAGTACTTTACTCCAAGGTTCATTTTAATACAGAAAACAGAGGGTTTTTATAATATTCTAAATGTCCTTGGGTTGTTCGAAAATTCTGGAATGCTATTAAACATACTGGCGGTATAACAATCAACCAATCAGAACCTCTACATGTGACGTTTCACATCCTTGATGTTTCTGGCTAAACTCCAAGTGAAACGCTGATTGGATGAAATGCTTCTTAAGGTTTCCTCATCCTTGTGTCTTTTGAGAGAACTTTTCAGGATCATCCCAACACTTCCCTCCTTTCAAAAAATAAGACCTCTTCTTCGGATCTACTTACAGCTTGATAACTGGTTTTCTATGGCGTTCGGACTTTCTTGGTATCCAGCGTTTATGAGTGTCTGTTGGGGTTCCTGTCATTGGGGTATCTGTAATTACATCTGGCGGAAGCCTCGCTGAACTATCTACCGTGTCTAGAGTCATTTTCTCTCTGTGTATTTGATTAATGTGTCTAATCCTTATTCCGAAAGTCCCACGCACTTTGTATAAAACATTCCCCATTCTCTTCTCGATGACTCTTGACTAAAGTCTCCGCAACTCCAAAGCAGCTAAACAGTTCCGATAACTTGCTGATTGTTTCACTGGCTGTGCAATTTACCATAACGTAGATTTGTGGCCATTTTATGGACCGGCAGAATCTGCATGCAGCCTCTCCCAGGGACTATTGGGCTTTTCTCATTGTTGCGGTTCACACTTCTTTGGACTTTTAGCGGCTTGCATGCACGATGAACAATTGCGGCATCCAGTTTCGATATCTTGATCCATCGTAGGCCAGTATACGTAGCTTCGAGCCAAGGCTTTCATCTTATTGATGCCTGGATGACCGCTGTGGAACTATCTCAGAACCTTGTAGCGTAGCGTTTTTGGGACAACAATTCTGTCACCAAACATGATGCATGAATCAACCATCATGAGTGAGTCCCATCGGCGAAAATATTGTAGCATTTCTCCTTGGAAACGACGGTTCGGCCACTTGGTGAGAAGATAACCACTAACTTCTCTTAAAGTCTTGTCATTTTCCGTGGCTTCTTTGATGGCTTTGAAAGTAACTGGTAAACCATCAACTGCGTCTTCCAATACTCTATGTACTTCTGGTTCCGTCTCGATTGCTGCCACCAAAGTGTCTTCTTCCTGTCTAGATAAAGCGTCAGCTTTTCCGAAATCAGTAGTGCGCTGGTACTTGATCTTTAAGTCATAACCCAAGAGTGTAGTCCCTCAACGTTGCAGTCTGTTTGCTGTGTATACAGGTATACCTTTCTTCGACCCAAAAATGGCTAGTAATGGTTTATGGTCAGTTAGTAGAGTGAACCGACGTCCAAATATCATCTTATGAAACTTCTTTACAGCGAAGATAATCGACAATGCTTCCTTCTCGATCTGACTGTAGTTACGTTCTGCTGACGTTAACGATGGCTTTCTCAAATCCATCTGGCATGACGTAAGAAATAACTGCTCCAGTGCCATAGTTTGAAGCGTACGATGCTACTACAATGGGTAAAGATGGACCGTAATGGGTGAGCAGCAGATCCGAGACTAGTACTTTCTTGATTTCATCGAAAGCAACTTGGCAAGTTGCAGACCAATTCCATTTTACATTCTTCGCCAGAAAGTTATTCAAGGGGGCACGTAATTGATGAAGGTTCGGAATAAAATCTCCATAATGACTAACTAGTCCCAAAAAGGATCGTAGTGGGGGACGTCCGTCGGTCTAGGCATCGTTTTCACTGACTGGGTATTCTCTGGATCTGGTCTTCTACCATCTTTGTCGATTATAAATCCGAGGTAGCGCACTTTTTGCATACAAAAGTCACATTCCTCTGGACGAAGCCGAAGTCCATATTGAGCCATTCGCGACAGCACCTGATCGAGCTTCTTTTCTAAGTCTATTCTATCTACTTCCATAATTATTATATCATCTAGACAAGCTGCATCACCTGGGACATCCTGTAACATAGTATCCATTATTTGCTGAAATATGGATGGGGCCGTCTTGAATACGAAGGGTAGTCGATTATACCGGAATAGGCCCTTGAGTGTGTTTATGGTGAGCAGATTTTTACACTCGTCAGCAACAGAGATTTGTAAATAAGCTTCCGATAAAACCAGCTTTGCGAAAATCTTACCTGCATTCAGTTTAGCAAAATGATCTTCAGGTACGGGTAATGGATACTGATGAGTTTCTAAGGATTCATTCAGCCCGGTTGAGTAATCGGCACATAAACGGACGCTACCATTAGTCTCCTTTACTACTACTATCGGTGCGGCCCATTCTGAGAAATTCACCGGTTCAATGACATTCAGTTTCTGAAGTCGTTCTAGCTCTTGTTCAACCACTGGGAGGGCAGCATATGGTACGGGATTTTATGACGAAATACTGGTTTTGATCCCTGTCGAAGGGTAAGAGCAGCTTTAAATTTAATGCATTCTCCAAGACCATCACTGAATACCATTTTATGTCGTTTTAATAATGTTTCCATTGAGTTTTTCTCATCAACGTTCGACGTACTGACGTTGTTGCAGATCGAGTCTATTGGGCGGTCTGTTAA